GGCACAAGCACAAGCGCAGGCAGCCTTGCAGCGGGCTGCCCCGCCAGCCTAGCGCTGTCGATACTTTCTCAATGACTCCCGCGGCAGACGTTATCCTCCATCGAACCCGTACCACGGTGCTACTTCGGCTACATCCTCGCCCCATCAGCCGTCTTATTCTCATGGCTCAGACTACAACACCACAGCTCTCCCAATTCCATCCAACGACCGGTCTCACCATGGCGAGCTCCTTGCTCATCCAGCTCCTGCGCGACGCTCCAACTCCAACCCATCCCAGGGAAGCCGTCGTGACCCGCAAGGGAATTTCTACCCAATTGGATCGACTGTCTCTCCGATTCCAGAAGAGTTCCCATCACCTGTACAGAGGGACGTCAAATCCTTCGCTTCGAGCAAAGTGATTCCATCCAGTTGGGGTTCAGCCCCGTTTGAAACTGTCGATCTCAAGTACGAGGAGATGCCTGAAACCGTCCATGGCACAGACGGCGGGTCGTCAGCTTACAACGAAGACGAGATGGCGCAGGCTCTCAAGGCTAAGTCTGCTCTTCGTACCAGAAACAAGGGCAGCGTCGACTTGCCAACTGGCCCGAGACCTAGCTCCAGCCTTGCAAGAGAAATCAGCCTCGGGAAGACAGGCAAAGGCGAGCTGCGGACGATCAACATCACCAAAAACGATCCACCGTCCATGCACAACCGTACCATAAGCGAACGGTCTGTTGGTGTTCCATCGGAAGTCGGCAGCGTTACCTCAAGTGGCACAATCGGCATAGCCATCAACCCATCGCTGCGTGCAAATATCCCTGACCACCACATCCCGCCATCGTTCCACAACCCTAGCGGCCAGCTGCGCCCAAGCCGGCTGCGCGCAAACTCTCACTCCTCTGTCGAGTCGGTTGATGATCAAGAGGAGCCAGAAGGCGATGAAGTGCCCATAATACACAAGCAGCCTACCAATGACTCTGAGTTCAGAGACATTGAGCTAGGTGGCTCACGCTCGGCTGGACGCAGGGTTTCACAGTTCAGCGACCTGGCACCTCCTCCCGCGCTGAACATCGAAGGGAAAGAACCGGAGGTCAGAAGCAGTTTGACCAGCTTGCCAGATCTAATCCGCAGGGCCACCAAGTTGGCATCGAACCTCGACCGTGGAAAGACGGCCAGCAAGGGCCCAGCGGGTATCTTTGAAATGACGAACGCAAACGATGCTAAGAACAAAGACCGTGGATATTCTGGTTCGATCACCGATATCCTGGCTTCATTCCCTCCACCTGGCGTCCAGACTCCCCGAACCAACTCTGCTCATCATGGTGATGACTCCAAGGGCAAGAATAACGAGGTCGATGTTCCTCGCACCAGACGCCGATTCTGCGGCTTGCCTGCGCCGGCTCTTATCGTCTTCTGCATCGGACTTGTTCTCTTGTTTGCTGCCATAATCACCATTCCACTCGCTGTTGCTGGGAAACCACGTAACCATTCGCCTACACCTGAAAACAGCTGCGAGCTTCAGGCCCCTTGCAAGAACGGAGGCATGAGCATCGGAACTCCAGGCACCTGCAGCTGCGTCTGCCCCGAGGGTTACAGAGGCCACACTTGCGGCGTTCTTACTGATCGGGACTGCGTTATCGCTGAGCTGAAGGATAACCGCAAACTTCGCAATGATGCCACTGTAGGCAGCGCAATTCCAAGAATCCTTCAGAATTCGCTCTCGAGCTTCGATATACCACTTGATATTACAAAGATCATGCACCTTTTTGAAACTGAGGATGTTTCTTGTACCAATGAAAATGCCTTGATTACCTTCAATAGCAGAAGCCAAAGGCGAGGACTGCCCATGCCCAAGGATCCTGCCGACGACGCAACTATGCTTGAATATGCATTGCCAGGTCGTCGCCGTGCCGCAAAAGGCAATGTAGCTGGCAGAGCCCCTCAGGATCTTATACCAACCACGACTTTTACGATACATACAACACCTACTCGCAGGCCGACCAGGACACCATCGCCTACCACTACCACGACATCCTCTCCTACTCGAACTGCAACTACTACACGCCGCTCATCGTCTTCCTCAACCTCCTCTCCTACTTCTACTAGTATTTCAAGTTCAACGACCTCTACTCCCACCCCTCCACCAACGATGGTCGACCCGTCTCAGAACGTGCTGGACTTCTCTCGGATAGCAGTCCTTTACATTTTTGAGAAGACCGAGCTGTTTAGCGCAGCGGATGCAGCTCACAACGCTATCCAGGATGCCCTCAGACGACCTTCTGGGCTGGAGAACGGCCTTCCCACTTTCAGGCCGGTGCAACTTGAATATGGCACTGATACATTCATTCTGAGCTTTGACACTCTTTCCATTACCTTCTTCGAGAAAGGAGCCCAAGGAGTTGTTGTTGGCGGTAAGAGTGAGAGTGGTGACGATTCATAAAACGAACGGCCCTTCTAGATAATGGCTGTGATTTTCCCTTTTCCTATTTTTTTGCATCATATATAGCCTGCATTTCAAGAACTTGCGGGCTGGGTTCTGGCTTTCTCGTCCTTTTTTTGCTTATATATATATTCCTCATATCGGCTCGTCTCCTGTCTGACCAAAGATACCAAAAAAATCCCTTCGGTATATCTCTCTTGACACGATTTACTTCTTTGTCAATATGCTCCTTTTACTGCTCATAATTCTTTTACATATATTTCTCTCCTTGCTCTTGTTTACGCTCTAGATATCGACTACCCCCTCCTTTTCACTTCTGGTTTCTTTGTTTACGGTCTTCTCTCTATGCTTTTTGCATATAATGCTCTACCATACCAAATGTATATAGCCACTGCGCCATATAGATGCATATACATACAACTCCTCCCACAGATTAATTTAAAGACTGATCATTTCACTATTTCTTGTCCGTTTCATATGTGGAAATTCCCCGGGATGAAGCCCTGCATGTTTTTTGGCATTGTCAAGAAATTGCTCGTATACATACTGTCACAAAGTCTCCTGGTGGTTTGATACATATCTCTTTCCCGGCTTCTGTGCATCAGGGCGTGGTTCATCTTAAACATCTTGCAAAAGATGATCTCCCTTTTGTGCTCGGTGATGTTCATCTCCGTCTGTGCCCGTACCCTGTCGCCCGTAACTAAATATATACGAGTCAGCACCGACAGGGGTTGTGGGATCTTGATTCCATCCTGACCGAGTCATGACAAGGAACATCTCGCTGTACCTTTCCCCGATTTGGGTACCAGACACCCCTGGAGCAGTGTGAACATTCCTGACAGGTATATGCGTCAAACATTAGATAATAACATTGTAAGAAGATCATTCATATGTATATACATCCAAAAACGCCAAACTGTTCCGAGAAAGGATATGATATCATACAGAAGCCAGCCATGCATGCACACGTTTATTCCATGTTCAACCGAAGAACATTCTCTCACTAGATGTGAGGGCAGAAAGCCCATCGTCCCCGATAAGACGCTGGATTCTCTTTGCACGATCATCCAGTATCATCTCCTCTGCCTCCCATCGACGACGCTGTGCTTGCTTTTCGGCCACTTTCCTCGGTCCACGGCCGAACCAGTAGTCGTTCACTTCGTCCATGGTCTGGAGCTCTTCCTTCTCAGCCCTGACCACTAGGGAGCGAATCATTTGCCTCCAGTTCTTCAGGCCGGATCTGAGGCAGTGTTGGCATTGTTCTTCTGTAGATTGATACTGCATTCCGTGACTCGGTGATGCTGCTAGTTGTCTTTGTTCTTGTTTCTCGTCTAATTGAAGGAGGGCGATCTCGGCCTGATCAACAGCGTCCCGGGTCCATGATAAGCCAGCCTCGCGGGAGGAAGAGGCGTAGATAATCTCACCAATGTATAACATCAGACCTGCCTCTTCACAAGCAGTTGACTGGGAGCGTACGGGAGGCTCGTTTCCTGTCCGGATTGGAATGGGGTATTGAGGTGGGGAGATAAACGAGGTGACGGCGGTCAGAATATCATCCTTTTTCGTCTTTACTTTATTCGGCTTTGGGCTGATGATCTTTGGGAGTGAGTCTTCAGATGCCGTCACGCTTCGCCGGCACTTGAGCACAGAGAGGAAAACGGCCAGAGCTGATGATAAATCACCCACGCGTACTTGGTGAACTCCCATCGCCTTGGAGGTTCGAAGTAAATTCTCAGTCACGTATTTGGTTCCACCCTCTTTTATGATGCCAGTCTTGATGTCCACAACTTTCCGGGGGTCGACACCGAGGCCTTCAACAGCAATATCCATAGCCCAGCAGTAGACTTCCCCAGCAGTGTCCTTTAACCCCTTATAATCAAGCCAGTCTGCATATGCCAGAGCAGCATCAAGCTTCTGGTTGGTTTGGAATCCCTTGGTGGTCAATATCTTCATATAAAAAACTGATGGATTCTGGTATGCCGGTACGCAATTCTCCTCGAGAGGAGCAATTGAGCCTTTAGGTCCCTCCTTCGGTCGTGGATTTGATGGGCCTACAACGTATTCTGGGGGTGAAGCAATGTGCGTCACTGTATCCTCTAACCATCCATCCAGTTTCTCGGCTGTCTCAGCAGCTCCCATCAGACAGTCGAAGTAACCCTTCTTCCATGGCTCGCTCATCCCGTCAATGTCATACCCTGCCCTGCCCACTCCATCAATTAAAATGGCCTCTCCTTCCCCTGCATTGACAATTTGCTCTTTCAATCCTTTTCCATCAATTTCAGGGTCTTCCAGCCGGAGTAGCAGCTCTCTGTAGTAACTTCCCACCGCAGGCCAGCTAGTAGCAACCCGTCCCATTTTCTCAGGAGACTGCAGAGCCTTTGCTGTTCGCAAATACCACCTGCTTTTCCACGACCATTCAGGTGGCGTGGGAAACATCCGCTCTATAGTTTCTTGGTAGAGTCCTTGCTGCGCAACGTATAGTAGCAGGATGATCGCGTAAACCGTCAAACCGATCTTGATGCCATTGGTTATCTTCCTTCGCCGCTCAGTACTTATCAGGCGCGTTACATGTCGGCCAAGGGTCACCACATTCAGGGATCTGCCAGCGAATAGAGGATGTCCGGCTGAAGAGGCGTAGAGAAAGGGGAGCTGCGGTCGGTTTGCGGGTGTGGTGATGAGAAGCAGCTGGGAGTTGCTGGTAAACGGGCGTGGATTCGAGAAGCGAGCGATGGTATTTGGAGGCCGAAGCCGTATTAGCCGCGGTATCCGCTGTATATGTAGCTGTGAGGAGAGCATCTTGCACTGTGTCGTCTGTTCTGCTGTTGTTTGGTCTTCTAGTCGATATATCAACCTTGAGAATTTTTGGTTGAAAGCCGCAAGTCCAGCTGTGTTTGTCTTGTTTGCATCTCGCCTTTATTTCGACGTCACTTTCCAACTCCGCAACATCAAATCCAAGTATTCTACAACATATCAGTCTTTCGAAAGGAGAACTAACGGACACTGTTCTCAGTCTTTTGCCCGACAGCTGCTGTGAAAAGTAGATGCTCTGTTTAATCCTAGAGATTGTTTTTAACAAAAAGAATCTGGTACAATCAAGAGAAAATGATGCTCTGGACGTGAGAACTGATATATACCCCAAATGCCGATATTCTACGCCCAAGATACGATAAAAACTGGGACCACGAATATACCACTATTAAATCTTTTTTTCGAGGCTAGAAATGCCATTTTATATGACTAAATCGGACTTGGTTACTCCAAAATGAGAGTGGTCACTGAAGATACCCTCTATACTTATATCAACAGGGGTTAAAAGGAAAGCCCGGAAGCCAAAGAATACGGTGATATTCTATACTTTCTTGCTTTATTATCGTTCATTCATGGCAAAATCTTATCCAACTACGACTTACTTGATTGAACCAACGGATGCTCCGATGCTCCATAGGAGGATTTTACTCCCATATGTAACACCCTGTTCCTATAGCTTGTCTATTAGCGACTAGGAACTATTGTCACACATGGCATATCTGATCAGAGTTTAATCAGTAGTTACTCAAAGCTGAAAATACGACACCGCCCCTCATCAGGTATTCTATGCCTAACTATGACTATCTTGTCTACAGTGGCTCCCTCTCGTCTCAAACCACTGTCCTTCTTTAGACAACCTACTTCTAGAATCATAGAAATGGAAAGGTACTAATTTTTGCCTAGGCGTACGAGTCGCAAGCCCGGATAACTAGGAAGTGCCGTTCAACTCCCACCGATTCGTGATAAGTATGCACGGAGAACCTTAACTTTCATTCATGAATTACTTACTGATGTCGGTTCGTAGGTGATATAGGTTATCTCAGTAGTTCTACTGCCTCAAATCTCCTTTTCTCCATTTGAAACTCTCATATCACGGTTAGTCGGCTTGTTGATACAGGCATTTACTTGAGTACACCATCAATATCTTTCTTAAAATAATTATCGAATAAGGTGGTCTCGACAGTACCCTCAGCTACCAAGCAGGCTTCCAACCCTGCTTGAGTAATAGGTCTCTCTGGCCAATTATTGAATAATATGGCCAGATATCTTCGATCCAAGACAATAAATGGACCATGCATTGATAGATACCCCATGGACCCTGCTTTTTTCTTTTTTTTTCTTCATTCCTCCTCCATTCTTCAATATTTATCTGTGACAAGCTATTCTCGATGACTCCGTGATTCCAAAAGTCCCACAACAGTGGAAACTCAGGGCTTTCTCCGCAAGGGGCCACCGAATCTTTTGTATATTTTTGCAAAAACAAAAAGTGGCGGTGGTTTCAGAGGAGTCGTGCTAACGACCAGCCTGAGACAGCTTTGGTCCGCCCTGCCACGATTCTCCCGGGAAACTCTGATACAAAAGATCCTGGCAGGATCTGGATATCAAACACCGTCAAGATCATGATGATCAAGACCGGTTTATTCGAAACGGTCTCGCCTGCAGGTAGCCGTGCTTCTGGAAGGCGGAGATCGCCACTCAGAACCTACCCACATCCATGGAAAGGGCCCGCCGTTGTCAGGGGCTACCTAGCTCCAGATATATTGCCGATTGATATGTCAGCCTGCAGCTTGACGCAATGGCCACGAGAGGGCCCGAGTGTTTCCTCCTGCATAGACCTAACCCTTGATATCACGATTGCGTCGTCCTGGGTTATGGAAGGTTTGGCTTCCCTCCCGGCCGATGAGAGGTCGGTACGGTCGGTCGGTCGGGCGGGCATTCGGGTTTAACCGTGCAGCCCAATTGATTGACACCGGGATTCAATCTGTTTAGGCATATACGGCAATGGCGGACTACTTAGCACTCGAGGTAGGAATGTTGAACAGGCCTTTTACATATGAATGGCAGAGATCTGATCTGCAGGGGGGGTAAAAGTGTGGTATTTGAAAAGAAGCTCCAAAGGACAAGACTATTACGCAGGAAATCACTGCATTTTTTTTTTCATTCTTACTGCTTGCTTTTATACAATGTCACACTATTTGGATGTCTTTCTAGTACTCCCTAAGTCAAAGACTACGGCAATCATTGCTTCAATGGTATATGGGAATCTCTCGTCTTTACCAGATTCTAGTAGAATTAGAGGAGATGCATCACCAGCCATCACTCTTGAATGGATGTCATAAATGTTAGACTGCAAGAAATGCATTTCTTGCAGTCTATCTGTCTACTGTGAAGAATATATTATAAATAATGATTTTCTCATTCAGCTATTTTCCAAGTCTATCATATAAACATAGGGGGTTCAACAAAGGAAAATATAACACTAGGAAATCAAACACCACATCGCAATTGCCATCATGTATGTCAATTCACGTAAAAATTGTCGTATGGTACGACATCCAAGTCCCAAGCAATACTAGAGTTATGTGTACATTCTTTGGGTGTCAATAGGTATATGTAGAGGAAAAGGTGGACAACGGATACTAGCTCCGTTGAATGGAGGATAAGGAAAGGAAAAATCTATAACGGGATTTGGAGGGATATAAGAGGAGGAGACGGAGAAGTAGGTGGAGAAGTATAAAGGCTACGGAGAGACATTTAAGATCTCTCGAGGAAGCCCTGGGACTCGAGCATGAGGATGATCTCGTGAACGATGGAGCGGACGGACTGCTTCTCAATGTCGACGGTGAGGTCAGCGTTGGTGGGAGCCTCATATGGGTCATCAACACCGGTGAAGCCCTGGATCTCACCACGGCGGGCACGGGCATAGACACCACGCTTGTCAGTCTTCTCGGCGTACTCGAGAGAGGTGGCAACGTGGATGAGGAAGAAAGAGCCCTTGCTGGAGATGGTGGTGCGGGCAGCATCACGAGAATGGGCGTAGGGAGCAATGGGAGCAGCAATGACAGCGGCACCGGCCTTGGTGAGTTCAGAGGCAACGAAGGCGATACGCTGGATGTTCTTGTCACGGTCCTCACGGGAGAAGCCGAGCTCAGAGGAAAGCTCGTGACGAACAGTGTCTCCGAGAAGGAGAGAGACTGGGCGACCTCCCTGCTGGTTGAGGGTGACTTGGAGAGCACGGGCAATGGCGGCCTTACCAGAGTTGAGGTAGCCAGTGAGGAAGATGGTGAAGCCTTGCTTGGCACGAGGGGGGTTGGAGTCACGGAGGACCTTAACGACCTCAGGGTAAGAGAACCACTCGGGAATGCTGGCACCGGTGCGGAGACGCTTGCGGAGCTCAGTTCCGGAGATGTTGAGGGTCTTGGTACCCTCTGGAACCTGGTCGTGTGGGCGGTACTCGTCAGAGTCAGGGAGGTAGGTAAGCATCTGGAACTCAACGACCTCGATACCGAGCTCATCACGGTACTTCTCAACGAGGTGCTGGGCGTCGTATGGGCCGTACATTTCCTGACCAGCAGAGTTCTTTCCTGGACCAGCATGATCACGGCCAACGATAAAGTGAGTGCATCCGTGGTTCTTACGGATGATAGCGTGCCAGAGGGCCTCACGGGGACCACCCATTCTCATGGCAAGGGGCAAGAGACCGAGAGCGGCCATGCCGTTAGGGTAACGGGGGAGGAGAGCCTCATAGACACGGACACGGGTGAAGTGGTCAATGTCACCAGGCTTGGTGAGACCAACAGTTGGGTGGATAAGGACGTTGGCCTGACGGGCACGAGCAGCGCGGACGGTCAACTCACGGTGAGCTCGGTGCATGGGGTTACGGGTCTGGAAAGCAACAACCTTGGTCCAGCCAAGCTTGTCGAAGTGAGCGCGGAGCTCAGCAGGGGTGACTTCATCACCGAATTAGTTTTTTGTTGCTCCAAAATATGGATAATCAGTGGCAATGCTTACATCGAAGACCGACATAGTCGTAGTGGTTGAGCTTGTTGACGGCCTCGAGCTTACCACCGACATAGAAGTCCTTGGTGGTGTTGTTGAGGTAGATGATAGCAGGGTGCTCTGGGTCTCCACCGAAGACAAGTTCACCCTCCTTCTTCCTATTGGCAGGGGTTAGCAGGGGTCTCATTATCAGATCTTGTTAAAGCTGCAAGTGTTTCAGAACTTACTTGTCAGGCTGGTAGACGTCCTCGACGGTGATGATGGCAATGTTGTTCTCATCACGGAAGTCACGGAGAGTGATACGAGCACCAGGCTTGATTCCCATCTCCTCAATGTTCTCCTTGGTGACGTCGAGGTTGATTGGCATGGGGAAGAGGTTTCCGTCAGCGAGACGGGACTCAGCGCAGACACTGTTGAATCGGAGTCAGTACATAGTACGAGATAGCATATTTTCTCCCCAGCACTCCCAAGTACGCACCCATTGTAGTCCTTCTCGTTCATGAAGCCCTCCAGGGGAGAGAAGCCACCGTTGAGGATGAGCTCAAGATCACAGATCTGACGCTCAGTAAGGGTAAGGGCAGGAAGTTTCTCGGCTTCAGCAGCGAGCTCATCGTGGCGGGGGAGATCTCTGGCGAAGAGGTCCTTGAGGACACCACCATGAGGAGGGTTAGACATGATGAATGGAGGAGATTAAAGATTCGTCAGGGAGGTGAATTAAAAAAAGAGTATGTATGAGGAGGAGCGGAGAGAGTAGATGAGGTCGATTGCTGAAGGAGGAGGCGATGCTGAGTACAAGAAGAACAGAAAAGATCGAGGGAGAAGCGGAGGAGGAGGCCGTATTTATGAAGCCAGAGCAGGTCGAAGAGGACAGCAAGATACTTGAGAGCAACAGAGCCAGGCCGGAGATGGGACAGGGAGCCAAATGTAAAACGCTGGTAGCCCGGCCCTGGCGATCCACCATGTAGCGGATACTTTGCGGCAGCGCTATACAAGGCCCAAAGGGGAAGTACCCGGTACTTTCGATCTCTCCCTGACGTCAAGGGCTTAACACCCCCCGATAAATCGACGAGGCATGCCCCTTAGGTCAGCCGCCGATGGCGTGCTCTGACAGGTCTTGGCGAGGCCTTTTTCTGCCCTTTCATGCTCACCGAGCGCTCGTTCTATCGTGCTCACGGGGTCCCTAGGCCCAAACTGTCAGTATCAACACGGAGAATTTTCCTCATACAACAACAGTAACAAACGCCGGTTTGCCATAACTGCGTTGCTTTGATAGCTTCGACCTTCTAGCTGGCTGGGAGCTCGACTGAGTATCAACGGGAGCGGGGGGAGGGCTGTCCCGATCGGGAACCAGGTGCAGCCATGCAGTATCAGAGTCGACAGCCTTAGTATCAACCTATCCTCTAGGGGGGTTACCGGTTTCAAAATCACCGGTTCTGGATCGTATTCGAGCCTCTTTGATTATTCAGATAATCAGCCCCCTAGTTTGCATATCTTTTTCTCGTTCCCACCCACCCCTCCCTGCCGAACAAACTAGCTTGATATGCGTCCAGCCCTGTCTATACCCCTTCTGTGTACCTCGCTCAACGGCGGCTCGACAGTCCCTCGTTTTCTTCTTCTCATCATCGTCATCTTCTTCTTCTTATTCCTCCTCCTCTTCCTTGTTTCTTCTTGCTTTGTGTCCATTCACCTGCCGATGTGTTTGATGATATCAGCACGTTATCGTATCTGATACAGATATTTTGCTACCTGTTTCGGCCCAAGGATTGGGGTACGATGCTGCATCATGCTCCTGGTGGACTACCGCGAGCTACTCCATACATGGCTGGAGTGGGTAACCCCAAGTTAAACTCTCTGTTAAGATTAATTTGCGTTTCATCTGCAGTGTGCCTTTCTCTCTTCCAGTTTTGCTAGGCAACATCGGCATTCTCGATTATTGAGGAGCCCGGTAGCTTCCGTGCGAGATCAAGCCCTGTCTGTGTTCAAGTTGCCTGGCTGTAGTCGGCCCGGATCGTGGAACACGGCGAGATCCTCGTCGTTTCTTCTTTTTGTTCGTTCTCTTTTCTTTTTTTAACAACTATCTTTGCTTTTTTTTCTTAACCTTTCCACCCCTTGCTCTCGTGTCGTTGCTTTTTGTAATGAGTTCCTTGATGCGCGAACCAGTGGCGGTTGAGAAGGCATGGCGACACTAAAGTCGTGTAAATCATTCTCGGATGAACTGGTTGACCATCGGGATCCGCCTGTTACGTGCAGGAACCTTTAGAGCTTCTCGAGGAGAGGCAGTTCTCGCTTCGTAGTCCAGACTCCGTATATCAATGCACCTTCATTGAGCTAAATAAGTCAAGCTGGTCTTTTCAAATTTTCTCCATGCTGTCTTATCATGAAGCATCCTGCAACTTACATCACCCCCCGGATACGAGCTAGTTGCAAACGGGTAGCCCCCTGTTAAAAAAGACCACCGTAGCTCGTGTTTCATACGGGTCTACTGTGCTCTTGCAAGCTGGCCCTTGGCTTATCAGTTCAAGACAGGCTCTATCCTCGTAAGCCGACACAGATCGATACGATGCCGTCTTAAGAGCAACAAGGGGTGCTGTGCTCGATTTGATATCATATCGAAGAGCCCACTATATCTCCACAGATCTAGAGATGATGTTACATCATCGGATGAGCTCCTTGTAGGCAATTCAACCAAGAGATTCAGTCGAAGACGTGCCATTGACATTTATGAGAGGCGATATTCAGCTTCAAGGTGCTTAGACGGCATCCAGAGCCTCAATGTCGGTGTGCATCTCCTACCAGAGAAATATCTCGAGCCGCCGGAAGAGCTTCCACTTGGTCAAGCAAACCGCCCACCAAACCCCGCCATCCAGCGATAGCCCCTATACGAAGCTCCAAAAGACCAGCTGAGATCGAAGCCATGCTCAGATATTCCATATAATCTACCTGTCAGACCGCAGAAATGGGGCAGGTTGACCTGATAACAGCGAGCAGAGGTTGCGGTGAGAATCTGCAGGTAACTAAGGCGAAACAGAGCGGCTAGCTGACCAACTTTTGTTGTGATTCGCCTCCTGGTGGATGCTGGATGGAAGGGCCTGAACGTCTTCAGGGCAACGACTGCGAAAAGATCTTCTAGCTCGCCCTTGGGCCGGCAGTTATCGTGGCTTGTAAGTGAAGATGCGCGGTGTGGTTGGAGTTGGACGTTGACAGCCGCAAGTCACTTGATCAGGATATCAACCGAGACGTCAGACGTCAAACGACAGAGACACCGACACAGACGGTCAAGAGAAAGACGCAGCCAACCGCTTTGCTTTGCGAGATGAAGTCAAAGATTCATAATGTTGCAGAAGAGGAGACGCAGAAAAAAAGCACTTCTCAGCCTTCCTTCGTCACTGTTTACCAGATACAGGCATCTTAGCGACAGGGCGCATTGCATAGTCAACGACTCGGATTCTTTCTAAAGACGACGAAGACAAGAGACCCAGAAGAGACCAGACACGGTCCAGAGATAATTTTTTGCAGTTCTCTCGAACTGAAAAGCGTTTCTCTGTCAGCTGGAGGTTCGCATCTTGACTGGTACCAGGACATCAATTGCTGGCCTATTACGTATCCTCAGCCCTGCTCAGCCTCCCATGGGCTCAGCTCTAGGCAGCCGTTTTATTTATTTTTTATTTTATTTTATTTTTATTTTATTTTTATTTCCCACCGTTTGTTAACGGTAAATCAACGGTGACGACGTGTCGACTTCGAGGAAATATTCCAAACTGGCGGACTCAGGGGCTTCAAACGGTTTTTGCAGTCTTCGGGCAGGCGGGTGTAGTTACGTCGGTTACTCTGCAGGAAGTAAAAGGCGTTCAGCCAAAGACAGGACTTGAGGTTCGGCTCCTTCAGGTGAGATCTCGAGCAAGATCTCACGGAAGCCTTGTCACGTCCTTCATTTTGCAGCCGATCGAGGAGGATGAATCAGTCTAATGTCTCAATCAGCAGACCGCACTATACTGCGGACAAGAGTGATGAAGGAGAAAAAGTACTTCCTATCGAGTACGTCTACCTATCACTGCTTTTGGTGCCTCACATGTCTACATACAATCAAACGTCAAGTATAGAAAACTACAGTACGTCATACATCAGCTTTGATAGATACCAAAAATATCAGATGCAGCGTCATATCAGCCTCACCAGATCTCTCCGATTACGGACCGAGCATATCAGATCAACGAGGCATGGACAAACCCCGGTGGCTCCGTATCGGCCTCAGCGCCAGCAGGTATATGCTACTAACTTCTTTTGAGAAGCCCCAACCCCTCGCCACTAGACCCCTGAAGGCGCCTTTACCATGTTATAACGTGAAAATACGCTATCCGCCGTCATATCAGCAAGGAACAGCGCATGGCAACGCATAATGATCAAATAGGAAGAAGATATGTTGGTCCATCATGCTAAGTGAGAATGCCTGCTAACTCTATGAGGGAACGTGCAAAATAGCCGTCACCACCTCCCCTGCCCCTAACATAGAACAACTTTCGAACACAGTGGAACGCTTGCCGAAGTGTTCGGATATGGTAACCTTCGGCGATCATATGGGGTTCATCATGGTTTCCTTTGCAACAAGGGTCATCCGTGGCCGAAGGAAGGAGGGGTTGGGGATGGGCATCAAAATATACATATGGATGTGCGTTCGGGTTTAGGCACGAAGTCGATCATATATTCTGTCGGATATCACGAGAACTGGTGAACCGAGCCAAGCAAGGGGTTGTCAGGGTCAGGGTTTGAATTACATATTGTGATGTCTGCATGCAGTTATACATACACCCTTGGAGAGGGAAGGAATTGATAGTACATATACCATCTATGTACAGACGGAGAAGGCAGTGCTGTGGCGTCGTGCTGGCCGTTTAACGGCAAAGACAGCCAGAAAGGTTTGCTAGGAACACAAGCACCCTGGACCTGACCTGGACCTGGATGTCTTTGAGCCAGAATTTGAGCCAAATATTGAGCCAAATATTGAATCTGACTGAACCTGACATGAACCTGGGGAACCCTGAAGGAGGCAGAGATAAAGTGCCAAGGTCCGAACGGAGTTAGTTAACGATGGTGAAACTCGGTTTTTCTGAGGATAGGGAGTCGGTGACGGCTTCAACCGATCAACAGACCCTCGACATTCTTTTGATTGAAATCGAAGGCAAGAGGCACGGTCCATGAATTGTGCACTTCAACCCCATACTACGGAGTCGCTGTTCCAGCAAGCTTCTGTGGAGAGCAAGATGGAGCAAGTGGTGCTAATACTAAGAAAACTGCTCGATTGAGCTAGAGCAGCATTATAACGGGGCCCCTAACTAGTTTCAGAGCAAGATGGCAAAAACGGGGCCTCACCTTGGCTGGCGATCATGAGCCTCAGGTTTCATGCTAAGTAAGTGGAAGCGTTCCATGTCCAGAGTTGATATTTTTTTTTTTTATGGAGATGTGGATGCGGATAGCCGTTAACCAGAGTCCAGGTCAGGAGATTCTCCGAAGATATCCTGACGGCCAGTTTGGCGAGGGGCGCCAGGAAGAAGCAGACAGCGAGAGAGAGCGGTGATAAGGAGCTTGATGAGAAGATGGTATATGTCATGGTATGTCATCAACGCATTATTGCCCTTTGCCACGTCCGCTGCCTGTCCATGCATATATTATGGTTGATTTGGCCGCCCCCATCTCGCTTGATTTTCCTCCCCCGTTCACCGAGTTTCCTTGATCGTGGTGGGAACCCTGATAGCGGACAGAGTGATAACGTCGCAGTTGCATATGTATATTTATAAACTCGATATGTAACAAAAACCATTCAATCGTGGCTGAACAACCCCTTATCCCTGACATAGTATGCAAGGTTCTAAAAGAGTGTTAGAGAAACCGTAAGTAAGCGGCAAGACCTCTAACTTTATCGAAAAGGTCAGCGCTAATCAGATAACAGTTTTCCGGGCAGTGAGTGTGAAAGTGTCAAGATATTCAGGTCATGCTTCAGGGCTTAGGGGGGATGGATTTTTGCAGAACAGGGTGCGACTGGACCAAGAGAATGCCTCAGAGGACCCACGGACTGGCAAAGAAACTCAAGGCAGTTAAACCTAGTCAAACCTGGAGTGAGTTTGCGAGGGAGTGTAAGTAAGTTAAGTAAGATTATCATCAAGAGAGAGAGAGTAGATTAACCCATCTGGTTGAACTCCAGAGTCTCTTCGACATTCGCCCGGGGTTCACGAGGGAAGTACTTGAACATGGGATCGGAAACTTCGGTCGGCATGCCATATACGGGACAAGGAGTGCCTATACGGGAGTATGGGGGAGGGGAAGGGGGACGGGGTTTGGAATACGGTACGAGCGGGTTCGCTGGGAGATTGTACCGTTTTCCATAGATGAACCGCGGGAATATGGAAGACGTCTCCACGGCAAGGGGGAGAGGCAAGAGGGACTCCCGACATCTAGTACGTAGACAGCGTATCCGTAGCGCTGAAACTTATCACGTCCCGGATGAAGACATTTAGCTACTCCGTAAAGAGTATCACCTCGTGGTATTGAGGACGAGGAGAAATAGTGACAGTCGGAGGTTAAGTAAAGTGTCAGATATGAGGATCAACTGGAAGATCACCAGGAAGAGCTAATCTCCGCACGCTCCAAGGGCCGGCGCATCAGCGATCGTCGTTCGTGGTTGGGAGGGGAGAAATATAAAGAGAGACAAGGGGAGAGGTCTTCTGGAAAAGTTCGACTGTGTTCACGTTGGCCCTGCAGGCTCGTGTTTCGCCTGTTTCGATGATGGGCTAAGGGGGCCCAGGATAATGGAATATAGGACATGGATCATGGATTATTGCGGATAGCCTGGTTGTTGTCATGATAGGCGTTGGGATGCAAAACAAGTGGTCAGCTAGCGTAGTGAGGCCACAAGAAAGAGTTGAAAAAAAAAAAAGGAGACCAAGACAGAGCATGCAGGTTCATCAAGGTTAGCTCTGCAAACAGGTGGACGATGGACGATCATCCGAGACTAAGCATTGCCACAGAGCCAGCAAGGTCAAGCACTGTCTAGCAAGCCCAGCATAGCCCAACAAGTTCGTATTATATTATTAGTTCGTTGTTATAGACGGGTGGCCCAGGTCGAGGTTCGAGATGGCTCTTCAGGAGGTTGTCCGTAGCGTCGTTTGAAGGAAGTCAGATATTCACCAGAAGGATTACGAAGATTAGTTCGTGTCAATATATCGAGCTCCCTGCCAGGGCCAAATAAAATGAAACGAACCGTCTCTCCATCGTCTTCTCCATCCATTTCACACCCCGTCCAGGACGGTGGAGATTGAAACGAGGAATGGTTGAAACTTCTTGCTCCATCTCCAAGACAGTCGAGCCCGTCGTGGAGGCTCATGTCCACCATGTCCACCATGTCCACCAGCTCTCCATCTCGATTCCCTCCCTGTCTCTCCCTGCCACGCGGAGTGCAGGAAAAGGATCCATTATTGCCCAAAAAACTTGTCTTGTCTTCGCCTTGAATGTTGAAGCCGTAGTTGTAATTGCTGGGTCTGTTATCCATGCAACGCTCGATGGAATCATCACCAGGCCAGATAGAAATACCAAGCGAGCACGCAGGCTAAGCATCTGCCCAGCCAGGCAGCTTGTCCCGTCTCTCGGTCCGTCCTCGCTCAGCTGCCTCGCTCGCTGCTAGCATATGTGTACCCATATGTGAGCGAGAAGGGAGGCCGAAGAATGCGGTCCGCAAGGGATGCCGAGTCACTTGCAAAAATAGCCCTGGCTGCTCAGTACATATATGAAAATACACGCTGGCCGTAGCAGGTTCTTTGCAGGCCAAGCTCTCGGCGCATCAGGCACGAGAGACAAGGTGTTTCCTTTTGCTGGTTCATTTTTGCAGCCATCCAGATACGAGGTCGACGTGGGTGTTGCTGGTTGAAGTTCGCCTGTTGGTTGCCCTGTGGACTTTGGTCGATGCACCAGCAACGAGCAGCACCAAAGAAGCAGATAATTAGACGAAAAGGCAGCAGGAGAACGAGACAGAAGGGTTACATCTGCAACGTCGTTCTGTCGCCTGTTCTATTAATATACAGACAGGGCCGGATCGGCTTCGTCTTCGTCGTTTCTTTTTGCATGCTCGGGTCCTCGAGGACGAACTGCGATACGAGTCGTTCGCCTTCGCCAGGTTGCGTCGCAGTCAGCAGCGAGGACTCATAGGCAGATAGACGAACTGACTGGCTTCTTGACTGTGCGAGTCATCACCAGTCAAGGAAAGCCTAGAGGGTTTAAGCCTGTGTGGGCTTCGCCTCGTCCGTATACAAGGCATGCAGCGCCAGTCTGTCCTCGCTCTTCTCCCGTAGCCTGCGTCGATCGAGCAGCCTGTCAAGAGTCAGAGCTTCTGCTTCTGCTTCTGCTTCTGCTGCTCCTTCTAGATGATCCTCTCTCGATGCTTGCTTTTTTCTTCTCTGCTTGCTTCCCGCTCGTTCGTTGGGCTGGCGGCGATGGCGGTGCTGGCGGTGCTGTAAAACCCCCTATTCGCCCTCTGCAGCCCCCCCCCGATCAGCAAACAGGAATTATAAAAAGATCCCATGTGTGTGAGACACAGCCAATAATACCACATCGTAGGAGTCTGGAAAGAAACGAAGGCTGCAGAGGCCTTTCATGGCGCAGGTCGGCGAAATTGTGACTCGGACTGATTCTGGCTATACGGAACGCGCTCCATACGATAGTTAGCGGCCTAAGCAGACGTCAGTTTGTACACACATCAGCCAGATACCGCTTATAATAGAGCAATTATTACTTCTGGAAATGAGCAGTCTGACATCTGGAACATCTCATATCATATTTCATTTCGCCGTCTGATTGCCTGCTGCCTGACGTGTGGGATAATTGCATGGTGGAGGAACGAAGGGTGGAATGTTATATGTAGGAGGCGGCAGGGATGCCACAGGGGACATCCAAGTACAGGGAACATGGATATCAATCCTGCTCAGCTCAACCAGCAGGCAAGTAATTCGAGCGAGTCTGTGTAGGCAGTACTTTCATGGATATGGCGCTGATCTGTACTACAACGAATGCTTGATCGATCATCCGCAGACGTTGCTGGTGTCACCGCACTCGCCAGCATCAGCCGCAAGCAGAAACAAGCGAGTCGATGAGCTCAAGCGACGGGTGTTATTATTATTGAGAAGACACAAAGGAAGTATTTTTGAAATGCTTTTCCATTGGAGGATTAAGGAACATTCTAAGTATATATAAGTAATAGATAATATGTATAAAATCGCCAATTCCAGACAGGCGAAGGAAAGCGAGCAGACACCGAAAGGGAAAAAAATGAAACAAAATCATAGAAATCTTAAACGCCGGGAACTCAGTGTATCGTAGAAAGGAAATAAGACGAATTGGGGGAATATGGACATGAAGAAGAATAATATGCAAGAAATAGAATGCGTTAAAAGGAAAAAAGGGACGGGCGAGAGAAGACCAAGTTTAGACGGTGATTTTGAGGGCCTCGTTGGCGACCTCTTCCTGCTTCTTTCGCTCCTGTTCCATGAGGAACTGGGCGTACTTGGATCGGGGGTTGTGGATGCCGCACTCGGTCTTGGCCTGGCCCTTCCATCGGCCGGAACGCTCGTCTTCACCCTGAGCAACGGGCTGGGTGGAGTGCCAGTCGCCGACGGACTTGTAGCCCCGGTCGAGAAGGGCGTTGTATCGAAGGTTGCGGCGGTTGACGTACTCCTTGACCTGGTCGAAGTTCCAGTTGGCGAGAGGGTTGATCTTGATGAGACCGGCCTCGTCGACCTCGATGATGTCCATGTTGCCGCGCTTAGCGCCCTGGCTGCGGCGGCGGCCGGTAAGCATAGCAGTGACACCAAGCTCGCGGTAGGCACGCTGAGCGGGCTCGACCTTGGCCAGCCAGTCGTAGAGCTCGTCGTTGGTCTCCCACAGCTTCTCGCCGTGCTTAGCGGCAAACTCGGCAGCGGTGTTGCAGCCCTGAGGCTTGTAGACGTGAAGGGTGAGATGGGGGTAGTCCTTTTGGATTCCGTCACGGAGATCAATGGTCTCCTGGAAATGGTGCAGGGTGTCGAAGAAGATGAGATCTACCTGCTGGTGGCGGGGGATATCAAGCTTGGAGAGCATATCCAGGATAACGAGTCCGGTCAGACCGAAGGAGGTCGACTGGAAAAGGCCGGGCAGAGAGGTAACACACCACTTGAGGATCTCTACTCATTGTTAGTAAGGAAGGCACTCTTGATATTAATATAAATTATTGGAAAATATAACGTACCCTGTGGCTCGAGGAACTGAAGACGCTGGTTGAGGAATTGAAGATGTTGCTTGGTGAAAATAAGCTCTGGGATGGGCTCTTCGTTGGCAGCAGCAGACCCAGAGCCGCTGGCGTATCCGGATTCGAGTTCCTTCTCCTTAGCATCTTCTACGGGAGCAGGGGCAGCTGGCTTCTCGAAGATCTCGTCAGCGGTAACGACGGGAGCTGAGGCCGGCTCAGCAGCAACATCGTTAACCTCTTGGACAGTGGCTGGGGCAGCCTCGACAATGGGGGCGGTCTCGACAATGGTGACATCCTTGACAGCCTCGACTGGGCCGTCAACGACAGCAGCAGGGGCGTCAACAGCTGGGGCAGCAACTGGTTCCTGGACAGGAGCAGCGAAGCCCTCGACAACCTTGGTGACGACAATCTCGTCGACTGGCTCGTTGGAGTGAACTGAGGCAGGCATGGTGGTGGTTGTGGTGGTGAATTTGTTATAAGTGTGGTGTAATAGGAGTATTGGTATGAAAGCAAAGAAGATCAGCCAGACTAGCTGTTGCTGAAGGGATATAATTGCAAAGATTTGTTTTGAGGAGAGGAGAGTCTTGGTCTGTCGTTAATTGCTTGTTGATGATGGAGAAAAGAGGGAGGAAAAGTAGGATCCAGATGGAGAGGGGACCCGTCCTATATAGACCACCGACGGGAAAGGTTTTTGGTTTTTGATACGAACACATCAGAGTGCTCCAAAGTGACGAAACGAGCGAAACCGACGAACGAGGACGAAACCTTGTCACAGCCTAGTCCCAGACCCTAGTCTTGCTGGCACTTTCTCCTTTCCTTCTCGTTCTTTTTTGCGGGACGAGATGAAGGACCATCGGCTCGCCGTGGACCTCGTCTTCATCCTACCCTTTTTTTTTTTGCATCTCCACATTTTTCAGAGCTTCTCCTTGTGTTTCCGGGGCAGGGGCTGATGGGATCATGCTTGCTGCTTATCACGCAATCCACAAAAAAGGCTTCCACGCTAGACCAGGGCATCATTTCATTTTTGCCTTTTTCATTGCTTTTTCTCATTTCTTTTTTGCAGGCCTGAGTCAGCGAGACGGTGGACGGTGACAGGCAGAGAGAGAAGAGGCAGTGGCAGGAGCGCCAGATGCTATTCATAGAAAAGTGGTTCGTGGTTCGTGAAGAGCTTTCTGAGCTTTGAGGACGAACGGGTTCGAGTGTCCACAGCTGAAAGATACATCAGCCACGAAGGATCCGGTAGGCAGACAGCAGGAAGAGCAAAGACAAGCACTCACCGTCTGGGAGTCAACGCAGCGCAAAAGGGAGTGGCAGAGGTGAGGTGGCGGCCTCGTGTTGGGCTACTGACGGTCCTGGAACAGCATCCATGTCTGGCCATCGTCTTCTTCATCTCTTGATGCGTTTCTGTTTCTTTTCTGTTTCTTCTTTTCTGCTGCTTCGAACTTCCATGTCGTTGAATTTTTCCTTTTTCTGTTCTTTTTTTGCAAAAAAGTGTTAACTTTTAACCTTTTAATTTGCAAAAAGTTGTTATTCTTTTCTTTTTTGCAAAGTTAACCTTTTTTTCTGCCACTTTCTCACCGGCGGTGGCCGCGTGGGCCGAGGCTGAAAGTTAGACAGGTCACCTGACAAGGATAAAGCAGCGCGCTTGGCAGAAAACGGTACTTACCTAAGCTATCCCGTCTTATCTAAGCGTTTAGCTAAGCCGATCCCCTGCTTGCACGAAAGTTTTTTTTTTGTCGTCCCTTTTTTGCTTCTTGCGATGCTTCGAGCGGCTTTGCGACAGACCTGACACTGCAGATACGGATATCCCAGGCGAAAAGGAAAGAGGGAGAACAGGCGAACTGCTCTTTGGGCCCTGTTGCAGGTTTTGCGGCTAGGTCGGGGGCTCCCTTCTCAGCTCTGGGAGAAGCAGGTCGGCCTGCAACATCGATCGCTGCCTGCTGCCCGTTTCGTCCTTTGCTCCGAACACCCCCCATACGTACTCTCTGACTCCTACATATCGACAGAGAGGTTATATTTAGATCGTCCAGGAGAACGAGACTGCGACTGTAAGAGCCAGGAGACACACAGAAGAGAGACTCGAAGTCAGGATGTCGGAGCGAGCTCCTCGTGGCACCCGCCCCAGTCTCCGCCGCGGTGCCGTCTCGCACTCGTTCATCCATGATCACCAGCAGTACAAGCCTGCAGCCTCCCCGCCTTCCTACCAGCCAGAGCTTGGCGCCTCCATCTCGGGTACCCTGGAGGACCCCAAGGTCAAGGAGAGCGGCATCGTTCACTCGCTCTTCGGTGATGCTCTGGCTGCGCTGCCAGCAGACACCCCCAAGCTAGTCGCAACCATCTTCTATGTCGGCGACCAGAGCAAGAATGGCGGCAGGAGCAACAGCAACAGCAACAGCAACAAGAACTCTTCGGCTGACTTGCCTACTGCAGAAGATCCTCTCGAGCCAGCTGCTCCATCCTTGCCTCTAGATGCGCTGTATGGTTGTCATGTCTCCCAGCTGTGTCTGACGAGCTTCATACAGATGATCGAAAGTCTCTCGCATCCGTACAGGCGCATGTCCAGCTCGCACAAATGTCTTGACAGGCAGGATAACCCTCGCGTTGTTGAGGTCACCATCACCCCGCCGCCCAGTGGTGAATACCTCTCCTTTGACGAGCTGCGCAAACATGAGAGCATCTGGAGGTTTGAGCGGACCTGGAACGTGGAGGTTGTCCTGCAGATGGAGAATGTCTGGCGGCGTTACAAGCGCCTTGCCGTATTTGATATGGACAGTACCCTCATCCAACAGGAGGTCATCGACGAGATTGCCAGAGTCACTGGAGTAGAAAAGGAGGTATCCGTACGTCTTGACACCTTGTGCTCCCTGTTACGACACCACGGTATGAAGTAATAGCGAACTAACGGGCACTAGGAGATAACGGAGCGTGCTATGAACGGCGAGCTAGACTTTGAGGCCTCTCTCAAAGCTAGGGTAGCTCTTCTCAAAGGAACACCTGCTGATGTATTTGACAAGCTCAAGTCCATCATTACTATCTCTCCAGGTGCCCGAGAGCTCTGCACCGCGCTCCGGAAACTTGGATACAAGACTGCAGTTCTCAGCGGTGGATTTCAGCCACTCGCTGACTTTCTCGCCGATCAACTGGGCTTGGACTACGCAGTTGCTAACCACGTACATCTCACCTACCTTGTTTGTTGTGCTCTGTGCCATATTGCTTCTTTGCTATCCGGGTTGGTACCTGCATTTTACTAATTAATATTTCGTACTCTAGCTCGTAATCGACGAAGCCACCCAGACACTCACCGGCACTCTCTCACCGGATCATCCCATAGTAGACGCTAAACAAAAACGCTCGCTACTCCGAGCCCTTGCACTTAAAAATGGCGTAGATATGCCTCAGACTCTCGCAGTAGGTGACGGCGCTAATGATCTGCTTATGCTAAAGGAGGCGGGGTTGGGAGTTGCATGGTGCGCAAAAAGCATGGTGCAGTTGGAAGCACCAACGAAGCTGAATGGAGAGTCTCTCTCTGATATCTTGTACCTTCTCGGGTTGAGCGAGCAGGAGGTCCAGTCGTTGATAGTGGGCCCGTCTGTCGACGAGTCGTCGATGAAGGAGTTGGCCATAACGGAGCGGTCATCGTAGAAAATCTTTCTCTGCTTGATATCCAAAACAAAAAAATGTACATGATTAAAGCGCTATTATACAACTCCCAGATAAACTCATAGCAAGGCATTCTTCTCCTTTGTATCGTCCTTTGCTTTCTCCGCTGAACTGCCAATTCTCTCCTTGGCTCTCTTCTTCAGCACGTTTTCGATAAATGCCTCTCCAGCCTTGTAACTGCTTCTTACCAACGGGCCGCTGGCACAGTATAAGAAGCCCATCTCCAAGGCTTTCTCCTTCCACATATCAAACACATCAGGCCTCACGTACTCGTGTACAGCCATATGTCTCTTTGTAGGCCTCATATACTGTCCAAAGGTGACAACGTCAACTTGTGACGCACGCAACTGTCTCAATGCATCCAGAACTTGCTCCTCAGTCTCCCCGAGTCCCAGCATCATACTCGTCTTCGTGATAAGATCCGGGTTTGCAGCTTTAGCCGCACGAAGGACAGAAAGTGACTTTTGGAATCCCGCTCGTCGATCCCGAACAAATGGCGTTAGAGACTCAACAGTCTCAACGTTATGTGCAAACACATCCAAGCCAGACTTGGCCATCAACGACACCATGTCCAAATTTCCGTCAAAATCACCAGTAAGGCATTCAACAAGGATACTAGGTGCCTTGCCTTTAATTCGTCGTACTGTCTCTGCGAAATGTCTTGCTCCGGAGTCTGCTAGATCATCTCTGTCCACGGCTGTGAGAACGACGTAGCCGAGCCCCCATCTAGATAGTGCCTCAGCCGTGTTCTCTGGTTCATGAGGATCAAGTGGTGGAGGAGTGCGAGAAGTCTTCACGCTGCAGAATCGGCATCCGCGTGTACATGTGTCACCCATCAACATAATAGTAGCTGTTGCCGCCGCCTTGGAGCCTCCTCCCCAGCATTCGGAAATATTCGGGCACCTAGCCTCCTCGCAGACTGTATGCAGGTTCAATCCTCGAAGATCATTCTTAATCTTCTTGTATGACGATGAATCTGGAATGGATGTTTTCAACCATGACGGGAGACGGGTAATTTCTTTCTTTTTGCCGGGAGGACCAACAAGGGCAGTTTTGAGAGCGTATGCTTCTTCAGGAGAGAGAGGAGGTTCGGCTGCACCGCCTACAAAGTCGGAAAATGATGGACCTTTGTTCAGCTTATCTTTGAATGTTGTTGGGGTTCTCCTGGTTGTCGGCTTTGACTCTCCGATGGATGACTCCGGGTTAGTCGTTGCGTATGTGCGGGTGCTTGTGATAGATCGGAGGACTTGAGAACTAGCTACGCGTACTCGCGCCGCCGTACAAACTGTAGTCGATGCCATGGTAACTGATGGTGTTTGTTTCTGGCTGTTTGCTGTGGCAGGTATCCAGGTCGTCCTGTTCGGGAAGAAAAAAAGTCGAAGCCGGGGGAGTTGAAATGGAGCCCATTTGATTGGCGGATTATATATTTTCCATTAAACTTCCGGGGCCGTCAGGGCCATGCAATACAGATGGCTCGAAAAGCAGTCAATGGCTGTATATAAGACACTTAATATTGATATATTAAGATTACCAATTGTACTTGTCTCGTTTGCCTCTTCACTTTGTGGTTAGAATAAAAGTATGAAGGTTGAAAAAAGCTTTTGAGGAACTGATTGATAAGATCTGATGTTGACCTTATCAGCGGATCTAAATTGATCCGATGAACTCTAAATTCATTAGTGGACCTTCCATCATATCTGAGCCAAAGAAAAAAAAAACGTTTAGAGCTTGAAGATGGACAACATCTTTCTTCTCAACCCCGATATAGCGCGATATCCTTCTCGTGATGCTGTCCGAGTCGTTTATTGCGGCCTTTCTGACGTCTAATTCCACGCACACGACATCCTCCAGCCTTAAAGATGTCGGTATCTGCTTGCACGAGTTCAGACCAAACCCAACCATTCAGCTGGGCTTGAAGAAAAGCACCACAGAACCCAATTGCTTAGCCGTAAATGAGGGTCACATATTCGCGGCGCAATCAGGGAAGGCTGTTTTACACGTGTACAGCAGAGAAAGAAACAACCATGAAGCTACGGTGCCGTTTCCGGAGAAGATACGGAGCATTGCCCTTGCGGGGGAGGGTATACTGGTTCTAGGGACCGAAGGGGGTAAGCTGATTCTGTGGGAGGTATGCAGTCATCGATTGAACCCCAGTCTGCTGGAAATTACTAATATCATGGACTAGATCTGCACTGGGAGACAAGTAATGACGCCTGCAACCCACCTACAACCTGTCACATCCCTTGTCGTCGACCCGACGAATAATTTCATTCTCTCTGGTTCGGAGGACTCCAGCGTGCATGTCTGGTCTCTTCCAGATCTCATCACCTTCTCTAAACAGTCATCAGCCGATAAAAGCATGTCAGCAACATACTCTTCTTCTCCAATAAGAACCATTTCCAACCACACAACCGCAATCACTAGCATAGCAGTGGGACACAGCATAAACCGGTCGAATATTGCCATATCTACTTCTCAGGATGGAACGGCACTTATTTGGGAATACCGAACTGGGAAAATCCTACACACCTACCTACTTCCCTCGCGGCCTCTGTGTATCGCAGTCGACCCTGCGGATCGCGCGTTCTATGTTGGCTACGAGGATGGCAGTGTGCAGTTGGTCGATTTTTTCAAAACCCCATCCGTACAACATATTCTCCACGACACAGACCACCAGAGCACACCTACACAACTATCAGTTGGTGATAAATGGCTACCTCCATCCTCTGAGTTGGGTGCTACACTTTGCTTGTCCCTGTCGTACGATGGAACAAGCATTTTGACGGGTCACAGGAGCGGCGCCGTCGCATCCTGGGATGTCGGCCGAGCGAGATATGCAGCGTCAATCGCAAGCCTAAACTCCCCTGTCACTAACCTACACATGCTTATGCCCGAAGGCTTAGCCCAAAAAGTAAGCAGAGTCGCCATCCATCAAATAGTTAAGCCACGATTAGACCACACCATGGGGGGTTGGCAGGCATCGGATGCAGTGCCCGCGACATACCACGTCAATGTGCATTTGAATGGGCCGAAGTCCACCGATCCTAGCATTCCTTCATCTGTACTGAATGAATTTTCAGCTGCCTTGTCCCACCCAATCTTTCCCGGGACATTGATATCCGAGAGTCTGATTGATCTCAATTCACCTTCCGAGTATACCCCTACCAATAATATCGCCACCCCAGTCACTCCTACAGAAGCTTCTATATGGCCAGCCAAAAAGAAAGATCGAAAGGAACTCGAAACAGAAATTAGATCTCTAAAAAGGCAGATTTCTGTTCACAAGGCCACCCACCAGGCAGATCTGAACGAGATTATCGCGTTGCGCAAAGATGTTCGCTATTTATCAGATACGAGTATCGAGTTACTCGAGGAGCAGCGGACAGCACTGGATAAGGAAGCTAAAGAGCGATCTCTAAAAAAAGTCAGTGACCGGGCAGGACGGCAATTATGGTTTAGTTCAGAAAAGAATGGGATGAATGGTGATCGTTATAGAGTAAAGCGAGATTGTGGGAACTCAAAAGATGATGATGAAGACGATGATGAGGACTTGAATGATGAAGACCTGGGCAACGATGACCTGAATGATGAGGATGAAGAGATGGATGGCTAAATTACGGCTACGGAGAAGGAATGTGAAGTTAATCTTTTTGCAAATGATACCTGGATATATCCCTGATGAATTTGGAATGAACTTGAAACCAATTGGCAGGAAAATACTATATCCCATGTTCATTTCGGTACCATGGTCTTCAATATAACGGAGCATGGTATATTTGATTCTCCCCAGTCCCAGTAGGGGTCGTATTGTCCCCAGATCAGGGCATCCGGAGTGCGATCATTCCAGTTCAATTTTAAAGAGACCTGCACTAAAGAGCTTATCCAAGGCGTTCAGACCCCCCGATATTCCTTCGAGTCTATTGGAAATCAACGATTCACCACAGCGATCTCAGCTGCGCATCCCCCATCTTATTTCACGAATGCCCACCACATACACCTTCATCACCTAGCCTTGAATAGCAGAATGTGAATCAAAATCCCTCGTCATTGTTGTAATCCAGGGGTGGCTCAGAGGCTTCTAAGCCAGAAGTGAAAATTGCCACACAGAGTGACCAGGTGTATCGAAAAACCCATCACTATCCACAACCAATATGAATGATCTTGATCTCTCGCTTCATGAATTTCATCACAGTCTAGTATCACTGTTTATTAGTCACTTGTAGCTGTAAAAGGGGTAGAAAGGGGTAGGGTGTCAATATTGCACGTGATAGCCTACTTTGTATACAAAAAGCCTGCGTCTTCTCACCAACAACACCAGAAGTCGATGCCATGGATAACTCAGGACAGCAGCAGCAACAGCAAGATATGGGATTCCTGTTGATAACCCAAGACAGATGGCCATAATAGGGATCTTGGATGGCTCTCTGACCACTCTAGGGGGCTTTGGAGGTGGCCTGGGCCATCTTCTCCTCTTTGGCAACAGGTTCCTGAAGATGTATCTCCTAAATCCAAGAAGAAAGGGACTGTTATTCTCTTGTTGGACCCATGGATACCCAAGAGGACAATACTTACAGCCATACCATATCAAGCTCGCTTACTCTGATGGGTCCTCTCATCTTTATTGCCTGGTGTTCTGGGTCTCACTGTCTGGCTGATGAAGATATACCATTTACTCAAGAAGTTGACAAGAATATCTTGCTCTTAACTGTGAAAAACAACATCAGACTGACGACTAAGCGATGAGAAGATTCACCGAATACTAACAGGAGGAGGTATATAACTCCCTAGGAATCAAGGAGTGTCATCTTCCTTCGCACATTTTACCGGTTATCCAGACATCGAGTCTTCTGTTATCTACGCCGGATCGAGCTATATACCGGTTATCAAATTCATTTCATATAGGATAAAGGCATACCTACGATATACTAACGCCCAAAATCGGGATATCTATAGAAGCATACTACCAAAACGCTTCAGGGCCAATACCAAGGGATACCATATTATTGGAATATCCCTAAGTCTCACTCATACCAAGCGGGAAATAGAGAGTACTTACTTGAAAGAGGATCATATAACTTACACTGCCACGGGCGGAATCTGCCATACCTCTAGATATAAATCGACCTGCCCCCGAAGTGGGCAAAATAACCAGTCCCACCAACGAAGTTACCATGCCGAAACCCATAGCGCCCCTAGATCCTGGATATTCTAGTACAAGAAGTACACGCCTGCGCTACATAAGTAGGATGTTTCTTATAGAGCTACTCCTGGGAATAGCTACTTTACTGCTAGATATCGCTTCTATACTCTTAGCAGATGAAGAGGCACATAGGCGCCAACATATGGCGCGCACCGAGCCGCCAGATGCTCCTAGTATCGATACGACCACGGAAAATCTCCAAGAAAACGTTGGAGTCATCGAGGCAGAAACTCCTGGAAATGAAATCTGGATAATGGAGTATCCTACATACCAATCTCTATACTCCTCTTCCAATACTTTGTCTGATGACTCCACCTCAGAAGAGTCAGAAGAAGAGGTTATTCCAACGTTGGAAGCCTTGTGGGCTGATTGGAATCCAGAGCCGGATCAAATAGACTACCCTGATCGGCCAACTACTCCAGGGATCCTGGAAACTACCTTGGCCAATGATACGGGCAATTTCTGGCCGGTATCAGAGACCAACGGGGAATCAAATCAACCTGAGCCACATCGATCAAATACCCCGGATAGCATAGAGTGCATCTTCAACCCAACTGGGAGGTTAGAGATGAGCGACATTGAGTGGTAGTACGCCTGGCGATACCCACAGGAGCAAGGAATACATGATTATCTTTTGCCCAGCATGGCCTCGTTGTCTCCATTTTCCATTAATAACAGGAGAACGTTTATTATCTGCCCTTAATATTATCCTCTTATGGGCTTATGCCCAAGTCCCTTTAATTATGCTGTTATTAAGCAGAATACCTTGGTTTTTGGACCTACTCCATTATATTTCCTAAATGCTGGCGCTATGTATTTCCAAATTCCCCCATTTGTTGAAGGGTATATATGGACGGATAGATTGAGCCTTAGGAAATGTGAGGACTAAGTTTTTATTGAAAAATCCGCTTCAGCAGCTCTCTGGTGCCCGGCCCGGCCGAGACCATGCATCGTAACTTGCCCTAAAAATCATAAACGAGGTAAAGACAGAGGTAAGAGTCCTGTTTTGCAATCCTAGTAGCCACTAGCAGTCGTGGCATCGGCTTCCCCATTGGAATCACCTAGAGCCTCCTTGACGATGTTCACTCCGGAGCTAGCTCCAATTCTTGTTGCACCAGCTTGGATCATCTTGATGCAATCATCGGCAGTTCTGATTCCGCCGCTGGCCTTGATCTCCACGGCGCCGTTCGAGCACGATTCTACAACCGCACGCATCAAGGCGACATTCTCCACAGTTGCTCCGACCCCGTTGAAACCGGTGCTGGTTTTGACGAAATTCACGCCAGCAGCGCATGACAGTACACATCCAGCAATGATATCATCCCTGCTTAGCTGTGAAGTCTCCAGAATAACCTTGAGTTTTACCAGAGGCCGTTTCTCCTTGGTGGCGGTCCTAATCATTATGACGGACTGGAAGGCGTCGCTGTAGCGGCCGCTCCTGAGAAAAGGGTAGTTTATCACCATGTCAAGCTCGTTGGCGCCCTTTTCCAGCGCAGTCCTCGCCTCTACAACCATTTCGGGAATGGGATGCGTGCCTTCGTGAAATCCAACGACACAAGTGACTCCAATACCCGTCCCCTTAAGGTTTTCCACCGCGCGTGTAACCCACTCCAGCCTAACGCAGACGGTAGCGAAACCATATTCCTTGGCTTCGGCGCACAATGCATCAATTTGGTCCTGGGTAGCAGATTTATCAAGGAGGGTATGGTCTATTGCTTTGGCAATATCGGAGGGCACAGGTTTAGGGTACTGTGAGACGTTAAGGGGCCCGGCAACGCTAGACCTTGCGCGTTGTATAAGGACCCTCCATTTTGCGTCCGTGCGGGATATAAGCTCCATCAGCTCAGTTGCTTCCTTGGACGGTTCGGCCATCTCGAATGATCAGCTATCGGCTTTCTCAGTTGCCTTGATAAAAAATGCTGGCTGTGTAGATGGGCGATGGGGCGGGATAAGTGGAGGTAAACAAGTGTCGAAGTAGAAGTAGAAGAAAAGAGGAGGAAAGAAACTCCCCCACCTTTATTTAAGTTCCCCACGAGAGCGACTAGTGAGGCACGTGACATGTCATACGAACGATAAGCTTTTGACCTCGAACGCTGCTTATATCGGGCGTTATTTTATCTATTTGGCGGCTTTTACTATAGCTGCCGTGGTTATACTGCTGTTATCCTACCTGTAACTATTGCTGCTGTCATCTCTCGTCATATTTCTGTAATTTTTGCCTATCTATTCGATAGCATACTGGAGATATTAGCTACTTTGTCAAGGAATCCATACCGTTTCAGGGGTAAATATCCACACAGGCAGGTAGTTACTCGCAAATATCTAACGAAAAAAATTAATATATATATATATATTTAATACGTTCATTCTGGCCTTTCATGTTACTTCGTACATATTACCCGCCTACGAATATAGACCCATCACTGACAACTCTTGCATTCTGGACCGCGGACATCATCCACCCTTCCAATTCGCTTTGAGGGGCCACCACCTCCTCCGCCTCTCCTATCGTAACCTCCTCCTCCACCACCACCGCCGCCTCTGCCTATGCCTCTATTCCTATTTCTAGGGTCGCGGTTTGAAGGATTCTTGATATTAAACTGGGAAGCCTCGGCGGCAGCATACGGAGTAAACTAGAGCATTTGTTAGATGTTGTCATAGCCGTCTTCTCCAACCAAGTCCTAGGTTATGAGGATGAAGATTCCTTCTCTAGTCCACCGGCTGCGGGCAGGAACAGCTGCTTACCGAGAAAAGGCTGACAAAATAGAGACCAAAAAACATATATAACCATTGGAACAAGCGGCGTATCTTGGCCGAGAGCGGCGGACTTGATCGTAGCAGCAGTTAGATGGCTACTGTATCTCCCGTTGGCATGACCAAAGTGGGGGTATCAAGAGCTGCTTACTTCTCTAGTACGTGGCCATTGGACACGTATGGTCTATTGAATAAAGACATCTCGACGCGCGGTGTTGTGGCGCCCTTTCTTGCTCCTTCAGACTTGCTCCTGTGATAACTAGAGGATCCAGAAGATGGATGGGTAGATGACTAGTACAGGTTGTGGTTGTGAGGCTGTCAGCCTTTCTCTTGTCTGTCGATCGCTGGAGAGAAAGCTGGATATGTTGCAAGTTTCGGTTGCGCCTCAAAAAGGTCCAATAAACTCTACGCCAGCTTAAGGTTTCTAGTCCCACTAATCGCCAGGCAACCAAATTAGTCATGAATTATGTAATTCATTAATAATCATCAATCACGTGAAACGTTTTCGAACGTTCGTTAATGGAAGAAAAACACGTCACCCGAAAATGTGAAGATCTATTCATTTGATTCATTTGATGGTCGAAGAAACACTCCCAATATCCCGAAATGTGCGTGCGCCAGTGGTGATATGATACTCCGTACATAAATCGCAACTGCAGAACCTGGAAGTCTTATATACCCAACTATTCGCCGTCAATTCCTCCCAATGCAGCAATGGTGTTTAAATTCAAATCATCGTTCAGACCATCCAGCGTCTTGAATCCATCCTCAACGATCCATTTCCGGCCTGGTTGATGAAGAACTTCACAACTTGCTCCCACTACAAGCAGGCCTGGTGGCCGTGAGCCCTCTTCTTGGACAGCCATACACACATGCTCCAATGTCGACCTTATTACCCGTTGGTCAGCGCAGGATGCCCTTTCTATCACTGCACAGGGCGTGTCTTTTGGCCAGAGGCTTCTAGATGAAGTTACATCATCTTTACCATCGCCGGTGTAAGTTGTCATAGATTCAATGAGTGATGCCAACCGGTGCAATGCCATGAGGAAAACAACCGTTTGGCTAGGTATAAAATTGGGTGGTGAGGGTGCCACGCCATGGCGACCAGTCCCCGTGCATATCAGGACTTGGTCAGCCACTCCTCTATGGGTTGGTGGTATATCCGCAAACAAAGGTGCACTCAGAGCACTTGTGATGCCAGGAAGAACAATAGGCTCGTATCCCTTCGCTCGGAAATAGGAGAATTCCTCAGCCCCCCGTCCATAGAGGTATGGGTCTCCCTGCTTCAGCCGGAGGACAATTCTGCCGGCCAATAAGCCCTCGGATGCAAGTTCTAGCAGTTCTTCCTGTGCTTTGTCTGCATTACCAGGGAACTTTCGTGCAATGTGCACTTCCGTTCTTCGTGGGATGAGATCGAGAACTGCAGTCGGCACTAGTTTGTCGGAGAGTATAAGGTCTGCTGTTTTAATTGCGTGATATGTTGCACGTGTCAGCAATTCGGGGTGACCTGGCCCAGAGCCTGCTAGGATAATTTTTCCGTTTTTAGCCTCCGGACCAGTACTCTTTCCGTTGGTAAGAGGGTTCTTCCCCGCTCCATAAGCTTCCAACATCTTCTCTACTCCAGGCAGCGTTACGCTGGCAAGCTGGCGAAGGGGCCAGTATTCGCAGATTTGTGAGAGCCAGCGTATTCTCCTTGTCTTCGATGTAGCGGCTGCATCCACTACTAATGTGTTAAATGTGTGCTTCTGTGCAGTTGAGTCGTCGGAATCATCCTCAAAGCTATCTTTATCTGCCTCTTCCTCGATAGCATCCTCTTCCCAAATTCGTTTCCTTAATATGCCCAGATTTTCAACTGCTGTCCCAAGTCCAGGCGGAAGGAATGAGGCAATTTCTCGCCTTATACGAGAAGCCAAAGAGCCTCCTTTTCCTGACGTTGTAACCCCAATATGCAAAGGCCCGTCAGAATAGGTTGACAGTAGTGTGAAAGAGCAAAGTTCCGGTGCATCTGACACATTTACTGGAATTCGAAGCTGCCGGCATGTTTTTGATATGTGATGGGCTAAAATCTCTTGTCAGCGGTCTGCCCGTTCCCATCATATACAGATACCTACTTAAGGAATATGTCTTGTCCAAAGTTATAAATACGGCGTCAACAACACACTCTACTTCCTCTCGGCCCAATGTGAGGAGATCGCTGTCCTGGAATTCTCTCTGGATCCATTGGACCTGTCCGGCCTCAATTCTCTCGGAAAGAGTCGATGGAAGCTTGTTCTCAGGAGGGGAAATTAGAATTGGAGTTGCTCCTGAATCGATAGACTTGGTAATGCGAGCAGCTGCCAATGGATTATTTCCAATGATCAAATGGATATGATATTTCGAGTCTATTGCAGCCAGAAGAGGGATTTGCCTCCCAAATCCGGCGGGTGAACCAGTCATTGCCACCGTCTAAATCCGACGCTCCTCTTCTTGGGTCACGGTAAATGATAGCTCAATGGTGATAGGAAGATCGTCTTGGAATGTATAAGTCCAGAATTTGGTCGCAGTAGCTGTTGATGCCAGCAATATCGAAAGTTGCAACCACCACGGACGGGATCTGATAAAAAGATTGACAAGAGGGTTAAGTGTCGCTAATGGATTCATAAAGCAGGATATTTAATGATACTAAAATTTGCTTTTTAGTTCCTGAAGAAATTGTTTACTCCTCGTTCTGAACCCGA